CTTAAGCAAACAGAAGAAATGAGGAAGTAAAAGAGCTGAACACAGATTTCAAAGGGTAGCTGTAGAAGACAAGGTACAATATTAGGTACAAGACCTAGGAGGGAAAGGCACAGCCTGCCTTTCTGTAGTTAAAGAAAATTCAACTGAAGAGAAAATTCTAGTCTCAGAATTTCTGAAGGATTCTTTGGACAAAAGATTGAATGAAGCAGAAGCATCCAAAGAAAATGTAAAAGATACAGAGTTACCATATCAAAAAGAATTGGTTGTCATTCAACTATTTCAGGAAGGTAGCAGGTGAATAAGAACCATTAATGTGGAAGAAAGAAGTTTATGCTATACTGAAGGCCTTGGTGGAAAAACAAGGCTCCACTAATTGACAGAATACCAGTTGAGATACTTCAGAAAATGGATGAAACTGGAAGTGCTTATTCTTCTATATCAAGAAATTTGAAAGAGATCCATATTCATCCCTATCCCGAAGAAAGGTAATCAAATCGAATGTGAAAATTGTTAAACAATATTATTACTCTCAAATGCTAGCAAAATTTTGTGGAGATAATTTTTTAATGGTAGTAGCTGTACATTGACAAGAAACTGTCAGAGTTCAAGTCTGATTCAGCAGAGAGTGTAGAATGAGAGATACAGTTGCGTATATCACATGGATCTTAGATGAAAGCTGAGAATACCAGAAAGATGCTTACCTGTGTCTATCAGCTACTTGGATGCATTCAACTGTGTGCATCATAACAAATAATGGATAGCATTGTGAAGAATATGAATTCCAAAATGCATAATTGTATTCATCTGGAATATATTCATCCATTGAGAGGCAGGCATTGGAACGGAGAAAGGATAATACTACATGTCTTCAAATTGGAAGATGTGTGTGTGTCAGGCATGCATCCTTTCACTTAGCTAGTCTGAAAAAAAAAAACAGTCCATGAGACTGGATGAGGAGCAAGACCTCAGGTTTGGAGGAAAGACTTGTTAGCAGTGTACAGTATGCAGATGACACATTTGACTGCAAAGAAGATAAAATTCTCACGATGATAGCAATAAACAACATAATAAGTGAAGAAAAATTGAACATGTCAATGATTTCATTCTACTTTGATCAGCAAGCACTGTCCTTGGAAATAGCAGTCAAGAATCAAATGACATCTGTGAAGAAAAAAAGACATCTGTAAAGTTTAAAAAAGCAAATATGTCACATTAATGGCTAATATACACTTGCCCCAAGCTGTGGTGTTGTTTTTTTAATTCATCTAACATGCATGCAAAGCTTGGCAATGGAAAAGAAAGACAGTAGAAGAATTTATGCATTCAAAATTCTGGTGTTAGTGAAAAGAACAAATAAGTCTTCAAAGGAATACAGCTGAATGCACTTTACAAGTAAGGATGGTGAGACTTCAGCTTGCTTTCTTTGGATAGGTTATCAGGAAAAACCAATTGTTAGGAAATTACATCATTTTGATGAATTGGAGGGTTTCTGAGAAAGATGGATTGACACAATAGCTGCGGCAGTAGACTCAAACACAGCAATGATCATGGGGATGGCACAGGAGCAGGTAATGTTGTCAGCTGTTATCAAAAGGCTCTCCTTGAGTTGGATCTAACTCATGGCAATGAGCAGCAATCATCTACAAAGGGACCAGAGAGGAATTTGTGGGGAGTTATTCATATGTTCTGTGTCTAAGCTAGTTAATTTTATTGATGTAAAATATACCTCAACAAAGCTAAACTAAAACAAAAACCCCTACAGGTACAAATGCAAATCCAACTAAGCTGTTTGCTGTTCTTGTTGAATAGTGTAATTGGATTTAAGGAATTATATAGTTTTCTTTACTTTGGAAGTAACATACTAATACATTTTGAGCTCCCTTGGGATAGATTTATGTGTATAAGTAGTGTTGAATTTAAAAGAAAAAAATTTTTTTCTGCCTGGGATTACTGAAATAAGACACTAGTTGATGATTGTTCATGATTCCATCAGACATTTTGGAATTGGTCTGGAAAGGAGAGGGGGTGACCTAAGGAGAACAGAACTGAATGGAGAAGACTGAAAAAAAGGAGGAAGGACATAGTGTACATTAAGCTCTAGGAAGATCAACAAGGAATTGGCCAGTGGGTCACTGGCCTTCTAACTTGAACAAAGTTGGGCAACCACTATAGTATGCAATAAAAATGTCAGTCTCCTGAGTGAGGCTTGAAGTGAAAGGAATAACATCAGATAAGAGTGTTAATATATCACAAGAATACTTTCTTCTAGTAAATTGGCATTCTTTGATGCTCACCTTCCCGACAAAACCGCTGAAGACAAAGCGGGTGAATAAGCAAATGTGGTGAAGAAAGCTGATGGTGCCCGGCTATCAAAAGACACAGCATCTGGGGTCTTAAAAGCTTGAAGGTAAACAAGCGGCCATCTAGCTCAGAAGCAACAAAGCTCACATGGAACAACATATCAATCTGTGTGATCACGAGGTGTCAAACGGATCACTGAAGACAAATCGCTGCATAAGCAAATGTGGCGAAGAAAGCTGATGGTGCCCGGCTATCAAAAAGTATAGCGTGTGGGGTCTTAAAGGCATGAAGGTAATCATGCGGCCATCAAGCTCAGAAGTAACAAAGCCCACATGGAAGAAGCACACCAGCCTATGCAACCACGAGGTGTCGAAGGGATCAGGTGTAAGGCATCATCAGAACAAAAAATCTTACCATAGTGAATGATGGGGGGAGTGTGGAGTGGAGATCCAAAGCCCATTAGTAGGCCACTGGAGATCTCCTTGCAGAGGGGTCTCGGGGAGGAGACGAACCAGTCAGGGTGCGATGTAGCAATGATGAGAAATACAACTTTCCTCTAGTTCCTAAATGCTTCCTCCCCGCTCCCACTACCATGACTCGAATTCGACCTTGCAAGTCAGATGAGTTTGAAAAATGTTTCCATGAATGGAATCACAGGTTTGACAAATGTATGAAGTGTAATGGAGTGTACTTTGAAGGTGATAAAGTTGTTTTGTAAAAAAAAACACATAAATACATAACATTGGAAAAAACACCTGTCTTTGGGAGGAGGGGGGTTACCCCCTCATAATAAAAATCGACATTTTTCTCACATACTATATGTACCAGATGTGTTTTGTGTTTAGATTACATTATTTAATCTCAGCAGTAGGAATCTATAACAGCATCTTCATTTTACAGGTGTGGAAACTGAGGTTTAGAAAGGAAGGTTTGCATTCTAGTTAAGTCCTATACCGCCACTGTCGAAAGGGTAATGTTCCTCAGCGGTTGATTGGGGGTTACTTGAATCAGCATCACCAGGAATGCTTTGTATAAAACCTCACCTAGGATGAATAAATCCTATCTCCTGAGTGTGTGGGGGGGTGGGGGGAGGGGTTCTGGCATAGGAATTGGCATTTCTAACCAGTTCAAAAGCTGGTTGATAATTTCAAGATTTTGAGATATTTTTACTATTTGATGATTCCTAGTATTTAGAGCTTTTAGAAACAAAAGTGGCTTTTTACAGGGCAGTCTGAAACCATACTTTGGTGCAAGAAAAGGTCTGAAGATTTTTTTAGTGATTTAAAAGCTGCATATGCAGCAAGTGAATGTGATTGTGATGAAAAATTTTTTGTGCATGGGGAACCCTGGTTAGCAGTAGCCTGCTAACCATAAAGGTTGCAGGAGAAAGATGAAGCTGGCTGCTCCCATAAAGATTTGCAATCGTGGAAACTTTAAGGAACAGTTCTACTCTGCCCTATAAGGTTGCTATGCATTGGATTATCAGCTCTGTGGCAGTAGGTAGGTCGGTTTTAGGGATTGTGTAAAAATGATGTGGTGGGGTCAGAGATAAACTAGCTTATCAGCATCAGCTGCCTATGGCTCTGATTCCTGTGAGGAGATCAGACTGCCTCTACCCTCCACCTTTTTACCAGTCTGACACAATTTGCCCCATGGCATACGCAACTTCTCTCCTGGGTTTGATAATCCATTGTAATAGCCACATAGAATTCATAGACCGCTCATGGTTATAAGTTTTATTTTAAGGAAATAACAGTTACAATTCTAGTTCAGACATGCTCAGGATATAGTTCTTCCATCAGGACAGCCTTTCTTCAGCCATACTTGCACTCTGGCACTTTGTCTCTCAGCTCCAAGGCCTCTTGTATTTGACCTGTGTGGGCAAGTGCTATAAACTTCTCTTAGCTCTTTTGATGCAGAGCTCAGAGGCACCCCACTCAACCAGGAAGGAACCTTCCTGCCTGAATGCACTGGACTTCCCTACTTCGTGGGCCCAGCAACCCAGCATTTGCATAAGCCTACCCCAATAGGGTGCTATGCACCTTATTTTTATTGTTAGCAATCTATTCAATCCCTTTGGTGAGGCACAAACAATTTATTTGCATAGCACTACAATATTTGGTGGAAGTTACTATCACGTAATTTACTGCACTACAGCTTGATTGAGTTGTTTTAAAGAGGCCAACGGGCGGCAAGCATGAATTTCTATAATCTGGAAACCCACTGTACTAGTTTTACAGAGTTTATAACATATCTGTAGTTTTCAGTACTCATTTTTAATAACAATTGAAAAACTAACCAGCAGTTTGTCTTCACTAGAATGGATATTGTGTACTGCCAAAGCTCCTCTACCCAGAAGCAATATTTTTAAGATTCTTCATGGGTTTTTTAAAATATCCTTTAGTCCTGGTGTGTCACCTGAGACGTATTATTTTGCATTTAACATTTTTCTAAAGTAAGGGATAAGTAATGGTATTTTTTTTTTTTATTATACGTAAGTGAATTATAGTGGAAAACAACATTTCTTAAGTCATTTTTATATTTATGGGTAGTGGGTATTTATAAAATCATCCTATTCTCCTAAACTGTCTTCTTACAACAATCTTACTAACCCAAAATAAATTTTGTAGTATTTAACTACCATCTCATTATTTAAATTTTAACACATAATCTTATGCGATCATATGTATCTTCAACAGTGATTCTTTTATGGCACACCGAGAAAGTATGCGACAAATGATGAGAAGTTTTTCTGAACCTTTTGGAAGAGACTTGTACAGCATCTCAGATGGCACAAGAGCTCACCATCCTAGAGGACATGATGATGGTGAAAATTCCTTGACTGTAAGTTCCTTACTTGAAAAATAGAAGATTCTGGGTAGAGGAGGGAGGGAATAAAGAACTGATATCAAGGGGCTCAAGTAGAAAGAAAATGTTTTGAAAATGATGGTGGCAGTATCTATACAAGTTTGCCTGATGAAACTGATTTATGGATTGCTATAATATTTGTAAGAACCCCCAATAAAATGATCAATTTAAAACAAAAGATTCTGTGGGGATATGAAGAAAAGTATGACTAGAACTTGTCTATCATGATAGGATATGACTAATATTTGTGGTATAGAAATTACAGGTGGACTTACCTGTTGGATAGTTGCATCTATTAACAAGAAATTGTTACCTGTTTGAGTGCTACAAAAACTATTAGGACTATATTAAGGTTATATATTTTAAGCCAAGCAAACCATCATGTTTTCTTTAAAAATGTATGTCTATTTCTCACCTTACTTCTTCCATGTCTTAAAGCAGGGAAGGAAATATTCTCTTTATCCCATATATCCCCCCTTCAAGACCCCTACTTTATACTTTAACTATAGCAAAAAGCTATAATATAATGCTTTATCATTTTTGAACTAAGTAACTCTGGTCTTGTGTGTAACTACCTTGAACCCACAAAACTTAGGTTAAGTTTTGTGTGTCAAAAGCCTTGTATATTTATATAAATCTTGTACAGCTACAGTATATTTTTATAAATCTTGTACAAAACAAAGCTGGGAGATTACAAACATACATTTTTTCAACCCACCCTCAAATTATATATATATACCAACAATTTTCATACTGCCCTATTTTATTTCTGTTACTTGGTAAGCCTCTGAAACACTAGTTTGAGTATAACAGATCTGCAGGGATAGCTATAAAGAAGAATCTCTGCAATTGAAATGTAGATATCTGGAACTTTATAAACATTGAATTGATCAACTGGAAAGCTCTAGACTTATTCTTTTTATTATATATGGAATAGTGCTGCATAGGGTACATTTTCATATATTTTGTTTGCTGTGTAGCTTACATAGAGAAAAGCATTTCAAATACTACTAAAAGGCTTGATAGATAAAATTTTACTTGCCATTTAAATGAAGTAATGTTCATGTTCTTTTATGTATAATTTGTATACATATACTTTGATATATAACCCCCAAATAGTATATTTACATTCCAATCGTTTTTCTTTTAATTAGTGAATAATATTATTATTGGGAGCCCTAGAGGTATTTGTTAGCCACAAGGTCAGCCATTTGAACCCACCGGCAGCTCTGTGGAAGAAAGATGAGGCTTTCTACTCCCTTAAAGAGATACAGTCTTGGAAACCCAAAGGGCCAGTTGTACCCTGACCTACAGGGTCCTTATGAGTCAGAATCTATTCAGTGGCAGTGAGTTTGGATTTTAAGAGTATCATTATATATATTTCTATATTTTACTGATAAGTTTCCCTCAAAGTTTAAAATTAATATCAAAGGAAAAATTATCAATAGGAACAGAAAAACATTTGACATTTTAAAATTCTTTTATGTGAACATTAAAATTTTTTGTGTATTTGTTGTAACTATATCAAGGAAGGAGTAAATCTATATCTAGTCCTTTCTATGTCTGCACCTAACGTGGCTGCTTAACTCCTTGAAGGAAGAAGAAAGACATGGTAGTTTTATTTCTTTTGTTGTAAGGATGGAAAGGAGACCTGTTGATGTCAATTGAAAAGTTCTTATTGGACATGGCTGACACATAAGCTATAATTCTGCTAACCATCCACTGAAAATAGAAATAATTGTTTCTTTACTGAGCTCTTGTGCTTAAAACACCTGAATATTTAAAAAGAGCTGAGGTAAAAAAATATATAACCATATATGTGAATTTTTACTACAAGGGGCTTCAAAAAGTTTATGGAAAAATGGAGTTAAAAGATAATGGATTTTTCCCTGAAATTTTTGAAGCACCTTCATAACCCAGCCCCTGGGTTAAGAATGTGATCCATTCCTAAGTGTGTCTTTCTTAAGTGTAATTAAGTCAGAACAGGTGCATGCAGTTCTTATATAGCCTTACTTTTGTGCAAGAAAAGGCTCAGTCCTTTTCTGTGGTGTAAAAGCTGTGCAAACAGCAAGTGAAGATGATTGTGATGAAGAATTTGTTGCAAGTATGGATGGGTTCAATCCCATCTAAGTGATTGCAAATTTATATAACATTAAAGAACAAGTACAAGTTGTAAGTCAAGGTATTTGAAATCTAAGGATTGCCTACGTATTATATTGGCCTTGCCAGAGTGGCTTTAAAGCAAATGTTTCACAGGTGGGAGACTGGCATTTGAATTTAAAACAAACAAACAAGATTTTGGCTACCTTACCCAATTTCTTTTTTTTTTTTTTAACCTTACCCAATTTCATGGGCATAATAAATACCCTTTGTCAAAGATTATGACTCACTAGTGCAGGTCAAAGTCTTTAGAAGGAGCTCTAGTGGCACAGTGGGTTAAGACCTTGGCTGCTAGGTTAGCAGTGTGAACCCATCAGCTGTTCCACCGGAGACATTTAGGCAGTCTGCTTTCTGTAAAGAGTATAACCTTGGAAACTATGATCTGGAATCAGCTTGATGGCAGTGGTTTTTAACATCTGTAAGGAAGGAGCACCCAATTATTAACTGCTAACCAAAAGGTTGAAAGTTCACTTCTACTCAGGTACATTGCAAGAAAGAACTGGCTATCTACCATTAAAATATAAGCCTTTGGAGACCTTATGAAGTTGAGTTCTATTCCATTGTTCCTCAAAGAGCTGTAGTGGCTCCTCTGGATGCTCGACTGATCTTAGGGGCATTGCAAAAGCAGATAACCTACACTTTGTCCTGGATTGTAGTTAATAGTGCAAAATTTATTAATTGCCAGGAGACACTGAGTAATTGTTTTGTTGTTGTTTTTCCTGAAAAGGAGATAGTAAGTCAATAAATTGGGCGACTATTGTGACCACAATGGGTCACCATGAGTCAGAATCAACTTGGTGGTAATGGACCTTTTTTTAATTCTCTAGATTTGGGCTACCTGATGGAACTTTCAAGATGATGAATATGCTTTAAATTTGCTTTGTTAAATATGAAAACTACTAACCACAGGTTGCTGCTGAACACTTGAATGTGACTAGTGCTACTAAAGAATTTTTTTAAATTAATTATAGTCATATGTAGCTAGTGGACCACTTTAATGAACAGGAGAACTACAGACATTCAAATAGACTCCAAAGAATTTACTTTAAAAAAAATCATTGCTAAGGAAAAAACACTAATTTTAAGAGCTCAAGAAAGACCAGTTGCTAGAAAAGAACAGGACTGACAAAATAGAGGGCTGAGGAAGATGAGGAAAACCCTCAGTGAGCTGTATGGACACACGAGCTATAACAACAGGCTGAAAACAGGCTAAGCATTCTGAATCCAATGAAGTCCCGGGCAGTGTTTTCTTTTATTATATGTAAGGTTGCCTTTTGTCAGCAGCAACAATCATGTATGTGAACTTCTCATCCTTTTTCTTATTTATAATCATGTCTTTAAACATTTTTATAAGAAAATGTGCAATATTGATCTACCTATTGAATGTAAGCAAGTGTATTACTACTGCATCAGATTTGGACCAAACCTTTTTAATAATCATGGACTACATAAATGTATATATTCTTAAAATAATAAATACTGTTTGGTAGTATGTACTTGTCTCTGGCTTCTATAATCAACCCGTATACATTTCTCTTTATTATAATGTAACAACTGTCTTTGTAAAGCCAATACTAGTGCATATTTTTCTTGTTATAACTGAAAATCCTTTGCTGGATATTGTTCTAGGACAGTTGGAGGGCAACATTCATTCTCTCAGCCAAAATTTATTGTACTTTTATAATGTATGGCGTCTCATTTATATCGGTGAGATGCGATGCTTCTTTTTGTCCCAAGGGTGTGATATATTTAGTAAGTATATGACTAACTATAAATAACATATTACAATTTTTTCATCAATAATTAAAAGAATATTGTATCTCAACTTGACTTTTCTATCAGTCAATGTTGGATAAAAATGTTGGGACACAAATGAGCAACAGACTACAGAAAATGATGAACTTAAAAATCACAGAGCCAATAAAACAGGCTTTTTGAGTATGCTAGCTCGGTCCTAGTCAGTGTAAACTTTTAATAAAAATTTATACTAAATTCTACCTTTTCAAAAATGCATTCATATTTCATTTCATGAATACGTTGAGAAAGCCATCATGGTACCAGAAATTATCTCTCCTAAGTTTACTTTAAAAACACTTCATAACAAGCAAGATACAAAAAATAATTATTAAAGCAAGAGCTTATAGGATATATGTAGGTAGTGTTAATTAAAATCATTTCTCTGTACTTTCGTTGCTGTTAGGTGCTGTCTGGGTGGTTCCAACTCATAGCCCCTGGATGTACAACAGAACTAAACCCTCCCAGTCTGCACCATCGTTGCAGTATTGTTATATTTGAGTCCATTGTTGCAGCCCTGTGTCAGTCCCTCTCATCGAGGATAGTCTTCCTCTTTGTCGCTGGCCCTCTATTTTACCAAGAGTGATGTCCTTCCCCAGGGTCTAAAGTCTCCTGATAACGAGTCCAAATTATGTGAGACAAACTCCATCCTTGCTTCTAAGGAGCATTCTGCCTATGCATGTTCTAGGATAGATTTTTTGTTCTTCTGGATCTGGCAACCCATATTTATATGTTGTCTTCTTCACCAACACCCTAAATAAAAGGCATCAGTTCTCCCATGGTTTTTCTTATTCATTGTCCAGCTTTCCTATGCAGTTGAGGCGATTGAAAATACTGTGGGTTTTGTCAGTCCGCAATGTGACATCTTTCCTCTTTAACACTTTAAAGAAATCTCTCTGGCCTCTAGAATCAAGTAGTATGCATTTTTATTATAAAGTGAGGTTGACAAAGATGCAGTGGAATAAGTTGATTGTTTGACTGCTGCTTCCATGAGCATTGATTGTGAATCCAAGTACAAGAAAATCCGTGACAACTTCAATCTTTTCTCCGTTTAACCTGATGTTGTCTATTGGTTCATTTGTGAGAAATTTTGTTTTCTTTACATTGAGTTGGAATCCAAGGGGTGTAGTCTTTAAATTGTATGCTTCAAGTTCTCTTCACTTTTAGCAAGCAAAGTTGTGTCATCTGTATAGCACAGGTTATTAATAAGCCTTTCTCTGATCCTAATGCCTGTTCTCTTCATATAGTCCAACTTCTCAGATTATTTGTTCAATATACATATTGGGTACTGTATATACTCGAGATAAGCTGATCTGAATATCAGCTGAGGCACCTAATTTTACCACAAAAACTGCATTAAAAATGTGCTGAAAACTCTGCTTATACACGAGCATATGCGGTAAGTATGGTGAATGGATACAACTCTGATGCACAGCTTTCCTGATTGTAAAAATGCAGTGGAACAGCAGGGGAGGGGAGTAGAAAGATCCCCAGGGAATGATGAGGGTGGACATTGGGGACAGGGCATGGTGCCCCAACAGGCTAGACTGGAAAACACAAGTTTTTCTTGCTTGGTATATTTTAATTTGTTCTTCGTCAGTGGATTGAT